GAGACAGTAAGTAAGCTTGCCCAGCCACCGAACTGCAAATGCAATCACCATGTGAGATGAAAATTCTTCCCCATAACAGTTCCATGTTTATTTAGAAGTCTATCTCCTTCAGACAAGACAGCTGAGCTGCACTCTCTCCACCACAAAAAAGTGGTATGATATGGGGAAAAACTACGCATGAATATAACAATTAAACTATATACACCAAGGCACCACATATTATTTGACTGTATCAGCTAACAACTATAGCAAAATACAAATGATACATACAGGAAAAGTTACAAGAACTGTGACAATGGAATAAATAAATTTTGATGAAAAAGCCTGGAATAAATTAAAGTTGTAGATGAGGAAACCCGAACATTTGGGGAAAAAGGAAACCTAGGAGGAAGAGAAAAAGAAAGCTACAAATCAGAATGGATGTCATTTATGGGAAGAAAAGAGAAGAATTTCCTCAGTTACAACAGACTTCAAAATAATTTCAATGGAAACAGTGACTCTAAACCTTCCACATTAATAACAACAAAAACAATTTTGTAAAAGTGAGCAGATCATCACTTCACACTACAAGTTTGTATATTTGTAGCGAGTATTAGTAAGCTAAGTGACATTGTATCACCACGATCTTGAACCAACTTTTGGGTGATAGCACCATGTAGAAGCTGGCTTGTTGCTGGAATGAAGTGAGAAATATCAAGAAGCAGATGGTTTATATCAGAATCCTACAAATGCTTTATATTTAGGTCATGGTAATTGGCCAATCAGAGCCATAGATGAGGAGGAAAGAGACAGACATTCCAACATTCTTCACTTCAGCTCTGATAATACAGGCAATATAATCCTCCGAAACAACAGAAGCAAGTCAACTTCTACATGGTACTGAAAAGCAGGTTCAACATCATTAATGAATTGACATGAAAGCTTCAAATCAGTTATTATATTATGTTCTTGGTATACCATTGACATGAACTGCAGTCGTGTAACTAACTGTGCCTGCAGGGTTTTGTGCCCTACAGGTGTAGTTTCCACTATGTCCTGCCATCACAGATGCAATCGTCAGGAAACTAGTGCGATCACCAATCTTTGTAGTTGAAATACCCAAATGTGAAGACAACTCTTGTCCATAAAAGTTCCATGATATTTGGAGAGGTATGTCTCCTTTGGACACATGGCAGGTTAGCTGTAAGCTGTCACCTGTGTTCACTTCTTCTTCCAGAGAGAAGGGAATGATGTGAGGAAGGACTGCGACACACAGCACAATATTCACTATGATCCTTTCCATGTATGACCTGACACACACAGGCAAGCATTTTTGTATGTGCGCATGCGCACATGCAACTTCTTCAATAAATGATTATATATTGGCATAAATAAGTGTAATTAATGGATGGTACAAGAAGTCACATACAGACAAATGCAAGGAGATTACGAATAACTGGAATGATGATCCTGCTACAAGCTTAAATTACTTCCAGTTTGGGGCTTCCAAAATTTGATGCACTTAACTTTTGTTGTACAGAGTGTGCAAATCTTCCAACAAAGACATATCTATCCCCCCACTCCATCTCTTTCCTTCCTGCTCCTGTCCTAATCGACTGTCAAACATTCAGAAATCGTGCAGGGTCATCTGCATGTTACACAGCGTTCACTGAAAAGTGCCAGAATGAGTATGAATGAAGAGTTTAAAAGAGTGTGTCAATTTCAAGATAATATCATGGATTTTTATGAAGCACCAGAGAAACAAATAAAAGAGACAAAGAAGTAACTAAGATTACTGGTCTCACAAATGACATGCAAACCAGGGACTTCAACAACATGAAATGAGTGCTGCCACTTTAGAATGATAAACCATCTTGACAGATAAAACAACAGTGCTTAGTTTCCTGATAGTCTAAAAAAAATAATCTTTAAAAGCCAGGTCAAGATAAAGTTTCAATACAAGTACAGCATGAAAAAAATTATAAAATGGTAACAGAACAACAGGAAATGAAGTTTATATATGCATGTTGTACCATTCACATTTAGGTGAGCTGTGTAGTTCATTTCCCCCGCAGCATTTCTTGCCCTGCAGGTGTACTCTCCACTGTGATGAGCACGCACGGCTTCAATGCTCAATGTACTAATTCGCTGGTTAGTCTTAGATAATGATATGCCCTGATAGCCAGGTGTGATCTCATTTCCACTGAACATCCAAGAAATGGTGATGGGGAAATCACCCTTGATGACAGCACAGTGAACAACAGACATATCACCTGCATTCGCTGGCTCATCGCCAAATGAGAACGGCAAGATCTGCGGAGTAACTGGAATTGATCCACATCCTGAGGTAATATGCTGTTTCAATTAATCTTTCCCACAAGGAAAAACCAAGAAATGCAGAAGATGCTGTGGCATCTCTAAAATATTTGTTGCAATCCAAACATTTATGTTTTAAATACCCACTCATTACAGTTAATTGCCACTGTTACATTTCTTTGACCATACTGAACTCTGCCCAACTGGCAAGGGAAGGTGGTTAGTTTGAAGAATTCATATGGCATGACAACAGATGAAAGCAAAGAGGAAGATGATGGCCAGCAGATGGATGGAAGCCTCTGATCCACACACTCCGAGGACTCCGAGAACGAGCAAGAGTGCGCCGCCAGAACCAACCAGACCACTAACTCGGCCCCTTTCAGGGCCTTTATCCATACAACTAAACTCACCTTTCTCTCTCTACTTTCTCTCTCCCACTCTCGCCCACGAGCAAGAGTGCGCCGCCAGAACCAACCAGACCACTAACTCGGCCCCTTTCAGGGCCTTTATCCATACAACTAAACTCACCTTTCTCTCTCTACTTTCTCTCTCCCACTCTCGCCCACGAGCAAGAGTGCGCCGCCAGAACCAACCAGACCACTAACTCGGCCCCTTTCAGGGCCTTTATCCATACAACTAAACTCACCTTTCTCTCTCTACTTTCTCTCTCCCACTCTCGCCCACGAGCAAGAGTGCGCCGCCAGAACCAACCAGACCACTAACTCGGCCCCTTTCAGGGCCTTTATCCATACAACTAAACTCACCTTTCTCTCTCTACTTTCTCTCTCCCACTCTCGCCCACGAGCAAGAGTGCGCCGCCAGAACCAACCAGACCACTAACTCGGCCCCTTTCAGGGCCTTTATCCATACAACTAAACTCACCTTTCTCTCTCTACTTTCTCTCTCCCACTCTCGCCCACGAGCAAGAGTGCGCCGCCAGAACCAACCAGACCACTAACTCGGCCCCTTTCAGGGCCTTTATCCATACAACTAAACTCACCTTTCTCTCTCTACTTTCTCTCTCCCACTCTCGCCCACGAGCAAGAGTGCGCCGCCAGAACCAACCAGACCACTAACTCGGCCCCTTTCAGGGCCTTTATCCATACAACTAAACTCACCTTTCTCTCTCTACTTTCTCTCTCCCACTCTCGCCCACGTGCTACCATTGGTCCACTCCCATACCTGCTCCCATTGGCTCGGGGCAGGCTACACCTTTCACTTCCCTGCCTATAAAATCCAACTCCTCACACCCTATTGGCATATTCATCGCCCTGATGACAGAGGCAGTATGACCTCTGAAACGTCGGTTAACATCGACCAGACTACACAGCGCAACCACCCAGAAGACAGAAATCTTCATACTCACCGCTGTGAGAACCTCAAGTCTTACGCAGTCATGGCTAATGGTATTGTAACAGTATTGTAACAGTATTTGCCTTAAATACTGAGAAAAACCATAAAAACCTCAAATAAATTAAACTACATACATACAAAAACATAATAATTCCTTTAATGAATCAAACTGAAGCCATCAAAATGAAACAAGAACACCAACATCTTAACAAGACAATGTTTTCTAAGTAAAGACGAGCACAACACAGATGACATTTGGCTACTGTCTATACTTCTACTTGTACCATTTACTGTCATGTTGGCGGAGTATTCATATGTGCCTGCACGGTTTTCTGCTATGCACGTATATTGTCCCACATGACTGGCTTGCACAGAACCAACACTCAAGATAACATTTTTAACTCCAAGAGGAACTACAGTGATCCTCATACGTGGGGTTATCTTTTGTCCATTAAACAACCATCTGAGCGTAACAGGGGCATCTCCTTTCACGACCGCACAGGGTACAGTGACCAGTTCTCCCTCATTAAGGGGGCGTTCACCAAAATTAAAGGGAAGGATCTTGGGAGGAACTGGAAACAAAAACAAGCATATTCCATCCAACAGCATCCATATGATCTTAAGATGGAATCAGAAATAAGAAAATTTCACAAGTTTGCCAATAAAATAGAAAGATATTCTTCACATGATCAAATATTTGATCAACACAGATTAAATGTTAATGAAAGTAAAATGACATTTTTAAATAACCACATTTACAGTTTAATTATTAAGAACATTTTAAAAATGTCTCCTGTTCATGAAAGCCTCACTCCACAGCTATAAAAGAACTGGAATTACTGAAAATTCTTTTTCTCCAATACATAACCAGAATATCAAAATAAATTCTGAACACCTAACAGCCTGATCTAAAGACTTTTGATGAAGTGGCATTTTTCTTCATTTATTAGTCAGATATGCAGAACATATCAGAAACTGGTTGTGCTTCTGATTTCAGGTAAAAATATTACGTAGTAATCATTTGGGTCCATTGAAAAATTATAATCTGTATGGGGATATACAGTACATACAAAAGATGAATTTGTCACATGGTAAATAAGTGCTTATTTAAAAGAGATACGCTGTAAAACAGTTCCTGTAATGATTTCACATTTGATATATAATGAAATATAATTAATATATGGCATATTAAGTTTTACTATTTTACTAAGTTGCATTAAATTAATTTCAGATACCCAAATTCTACATTTTTATTAGACACAGAATGTAAGGAAAGAATTATTTTGTCCTGCTTAGAAAACCAAAACTATAAAAAGAATTCTTCTGTAGGCACATGCTAAATGAAGTGTTACCATTGACATTTAGATGAGCTGTATGGTCAGTCTTGCCAGCAGCATTGCTCGCTCTACAGGTATAATTGCCACTGTGCCTTGCCCTAACAGCTTCAATGCTCAATGTGCTGATACGCTGACTCATCTTTCCGATAAGCACGCCTTGGTAGCCTGGTGTGAACTCCACACCATTGAAGAACCATGAGATGGTTATTGGTGAGTCACCCTTAATGACAGCACACTGAACAACTGTCATGTCACCTGCATTCGCTGGCTCATTGCCAAATGAGAAAGCTAGAATCTGTGGTAGGACTGAAGGTAAAAGATTAAGGTAACATGCAAACCAACACTGTTAAATAATTCCAATTACAAACAAGGATACTTGAAACTGAGGTAAGTAATGGGAAAGAATCATGAGAAGAGCCTTGGAGCAGTGAAATAACATGGAATATTTAGCCCCGCGTAACACAACAAAATTGTAGAAGAGCAAAAGAACACAGCAGTCCTCAAAATCAGAAAGCTCGCAAGAGTCTGCTAGAAACTGTCTTATCACGGCAAAGTGCTATAAACACACACAATATCTAAAACCACTATAAGTGGTAGCAGCAGGAGAGGTAGCAGACCTGTAAAGTCTCGAAAGAAAGGCATTGTTCCACAGAAAGCATGTTGCAACATAACACATTTAACCCCTACATGAGATAACTACATTCAGATCAAGTAATCACAACAATACAAAATAAGAATTTTCCATTATGCTTAAGACAAAATTTAAGAACAGAAGATGAATAATTCTGAAGAATGACTGCAACACGGTAATTATCACAGTACATAAAGACAGTAAAAAGCATGTGTTCAAGAATGAAGAATTAAGTCAGTGGTTTTTATTATAAATATATTTTTGTCTACCATATTATATAACTAACATTTTCAAACTTCTATCGTCTCAAGAACAGGCACTATCAGCAATGCTGACTGTAATAGAAATCAAAATCAACCATTCAATAATGTGTCATGTATTTAGAGCTAATGAGATGTAAGCAAACAATAGGAATGAAACATGACAAACAATTCTGAACACCGCATATTTTCTGCTGGATATGATTCAACAATCACTGGGGTAATCTGTGGTAATAAACATAATGATTTAAGTTATGGCACTGAATACGGTTATAAATTAAAATTGTCCAAAGCAATACTTTTCTAATATATAAATCATAAAATTATAAAAATAATTAATGTGGGGGTGGAGGGAATCATGCATGAAATTGGAACTTTCTAGAGCACCACCGCCTTGCATATCCTTACCATTTACTGTCATGTTGGCTGTGAATTCATATGTGCCTGCATCATTGTATGCAGCACACGTGTACTGTCCTGCATGGATAGCCTGCACAGAGCCTACACTCAGAATCATATTCCTTTCCCCAAGAGGCACAACTATGACTCTCATGTGAATGGGAATTGATTGACGATTGAATAACCACTTTAGAGAGATGGGCGAATCTCCCTCGATAACAGCACAGGGTACAGTAATGAGTTGGCCTTCATTTAAAGGTAGGTCACCAAATTTAAAGGGCAAAATCTTTGGAGGAACTGCAAGAAACAATTGAACAAGCAGTGGTAAAATGTTGTATTCAAATTGTGGTAACTGAAACCACTATAAAACCATCTACCTTGGGCAAAGCAGGATTTATGAGCACTAGAAGACTTTGGGGAAAAAAAAAACAGAACTGTTCATGAACACCACATAAAAAGATATATTTTCAGCAGATGTGATGACAAAGAAACTTTTACGAACAGTAAAATTATCAATAGAATGGCAAAGGAGAATTGACAGTCACTACACAATATCTATTTTAGGCAAAACAGAACTCATTACCAGTAAACAATAGTTCAGTATGAGTAAAGCAGAAGTATCACTATAAGATATAAAGAGTGGCCACAAAGTCCCTATGCACGAGATTGTGTCCTCTGTTACATATTTGTTTTATACTTTTTCTAGACAGGGCTTCAGTATGACGGATACTAGTGAGTATACAATACAAGAGTGACTGATTACTTGTGTTTGGGTTCACGACCACGCACAAGAAGGAGCAAGTTTTGAAGACATAATGACAAGATTTTTCACAGAGGTTGGGCAAGCCTATTCCTACGCATGAAACTATGCAGGCATGGGGGAAGGCTTTTTCCACAGGAAGCATCCATGATTTAAAGCGTTCTGGTCATCCATCATCACATCAACACCACGTGGACATTGTCAAAACGTCCTGCTCAATATCACCACTAAAATCTTCTCAAAAAAGGCATTCTGAGTTAGGCATTCCATGCTCCACAGTCCAAAAAATAATGAAAAAGGATTTGGGATTAAAGCCATTTAAGCCTCGATGTGTTAATAAGCTTTCCTACAGTGACTTGGCCACTCATGAGGTCACTAGCAAGGCTCTTTTGCAGTGATTTCCCACCAATGAATCAAGACGAAGAGTGTAAGACTTGAGGTTCTCACAGCGGTGAGTATGAAGATTTCGGTCTTCAAGACAAAAAGTATTTTTTTTAGGATGAGTGCTATTTACCTTAGTATCTCAACTCTGACTAATAGTTGACGACCTAAAAACAGCTATCAGGGACTGCTTTAATGACTTCCAACCATCAACATGGAAGAAGATGTCCAGAAGAATATGGGGACAAATCAAAATTTGTGCGGAGAATGGAGGGGAGCATACAGATAACTTCTAACTAGCATGCATAAGAACTTTGTGGCCACTCATAATTTGAACAAAGCTTAATGAAGAGAATGGGGCAAAGGGTGAGAAAGCTAATTAGCATGCGGCATCTGCACATAATGTGGTACCAGTAACTGCCAGTTGAGCAGAATGTTGGGTCACACCAGCAGTGTTTTTGGCTATGCAAGAGTACCATCCCATGTGCTGTGCAGTCACACGAGGAATTGCAATGATGGAGCCTGCATCACCTAGTGGTATCACACTGACATTCATACTGCCATCAATCTCCTTATCATTCAGCATCCAGTGCACTGCAGCAGGCTTATCTCCATCAACAGAGCATGTCACAGTTGCTGACTGACCCTCAGATCGAGGCTTGTCACCAAATGTGAAAGGAACTATTTCTGGTGGAACTGAATACATATTCAAAAAATTATAGTGTTTCAAAATTATTCACCACTCTATAACACTGCATAATGCAGGAAACCAAATCAAAGATTATTAATGAAGATAATAGATTAAGAATACGAGACATGTAGTTTTCACAGCAGTGAAGACAATGGTGTTAGTTTTCTGGGTTGTAACACCATGTGGAAGACTTACAGGTCAACACAAACATATCCCTAGTATGAAGATATCCGTCTTCTGGGTTATTACGCTGTGTAGTCTGGTCGATGTTAACCAACGTTTCAGAGGTCATACTGCCTCCGTCATCAGGGCGATGAATATGCCAATAGGGTGTGAGGAGCTGGAGTGCGCCGCCAGAACCAACCAGACCACTAACTCGGCCCTTTTCAGGGCCCTTATCCATACAACCAAACTCACCTTTCTCTCTCTACTTTCTCTCCCTCTCCCACTCTCGCCCACGAGCTACCATTGGTCCACTCCCATACCTGCTCCCATTGGCTCGGGGCAGGCTACACCTTTCACTTCCCGGCCTATAAATCCAGCTCCTCACACCCTATTGGCATATTCATCGCCCTGATGACGGAGGCAGTATGACCTCTGAAACGTTGGTTAACATCGACCAGACTACACAGTGCAATAACCCAGAAGACGGATATCTTCATACTCACCGCTGTGAGAACCTCAAGTCTTACATATCCCTAGTATGTTCATCTGAAATGCTGTATCTAGCTACAAGTCAACATGAACTATAAATGAAGAAATCAGTCATATAAATAGTATGACAACAAGAAAATATTTTTAAAAGTATCAGTCCCCAGTCCATCCTTGCCATAATATCATATACGAAATGATTAGGTCAGTCAGTGCCAGTTGCATGTACTGGTTACAATTGTTCAAGAACTCAAGAAATGGAGGAGGGATTATAAGAAAAGAACGGTATCAATTACCGATGATAGAAATTTCTCCAATGTGTTGCTGGACCTCACGATGCTGCAAACAAAACCAAGAACGCACTCCAACACAAGGCAGATAAAGTAACAAGCAGAGATTCTACTGTGTTGTACTAGCCTGCTCTTGCTTAACAACGCACCTGCTCTGAACGTTCTAGTATGACATTTCTTTAGCTTCCAGAAGTTTCAAATTCTGTTAATGGTGTGTTAAGAAGATGCACAATATTATCAGCTGGCACGTGTTCACTAACACTGAACTTTGTCAACCCTTCTACAAACAAAATTACATCATACACTGTTTGAAAGCATATATATTCATAAATCAACTTTTTTAAATGTGTTCACTTGTTAGTTCAGAAGTTTCTGATATATTTTAACCAAATTTCACATCAAGTAAGTTATCATTCAAGGTGAGACTATACAAATCTGAACTGAACTTCTTGGGAGCAAATAGACAGGAAGGGAAGAATATAATGATTCTTTTCTATTTTAAGCAAATAGCAAGATTTATTTAGAAGGAACACGTGTAAGCTTAAGTGTGCACATAAAGAGAGACTGGCAGAAAGGTAAACAAAGGCTCATGCAGTCAATAAACAGATATGAGGTTCACAACAAACCATTGATGACAAGGGGTGTAGTGAAAGTGGTCCTTCCAGAAACATTTGAGGCAATGCAGGTATAATTGCCAGAGTGCTTATTATTGAGTTCACTTATCATGAGGAGACTGACACGGTCAGCAACTTTGATGGTGTTTACATGGTCATTATTGGGGTAAACCCATGAGATGGTTATGGGGAGATCACCATAAGTTACAACACACTGCAGTTGTGCAATAACGCCAGAATTCAGTGGTGAGCTGCCAAAAGAAAACGGTGAAATGGAGGGTAGTACTGGAAAACAAGACACAGGTTAGCATCAACACATACATATTTGGAATGACTTGATGATAGCAATGATCATGCAGTTCGTATGTGTATAGAGCTATCGGTATTAATCTTAAATAACGAATATGAAAATTCTACAGCTGAACAAAATTCAAGTCACAAGCCAACATCATTGATAAGTAAGATGAAATCTTTAGATGTACAACGTACCCAGATATGAACAGTGTGAACATTAAAACAACTGTGATCAATTTGAAAACTGAAGAGGACAACTGAGGAAACTTATAATCATCTGGGGGGGGGGGGGGGGGGGCC